CACTCCCAATACCTGCAGTGTGACATGCTGCAACTCAAACAAGTGGCAGGGGTCTTGGCCAACTCAATGAAGACATGACGTCAGTCATTCAGTCGGCTGGGAGAAACCACAGTCCTGCCTGCCGACTGGGTGGGGCCGGAGAATACAGACTATCCACAGGGTCACCCCGCGGGAGCCGAGGTCCCACCGCAGCCTCAGACGTCCGCACCCCTGCCTTCCGGAAATCCAGTTCCGAGCCGCTGGAGCACCCTGGAGCTATAGTAACCCATGAACAGATGAACAGCTACTCCCCAAAGAACGCATAGGTTAGAGAAGGCCTGGGTTCAGGGTAAGAGACAAAGACACAAACCACCACTCAGTTCTTCCCTGGCCAAGCCACTGTCTCGTGAGAAAGAAGTCTGAGAAACCAGGGCTGCCTCATGTTTTACTACATTTACCCCTTGACCTCTCTGTCCCTTTGCTGCATAGAGAGCCAAAGGAGGGAGGGACTGAGGGAGAGAAAGTGAGAAAGAGAGAGAGAGAACAGGCTTTTTTATAGGGATTAGATATGATGAAGGATAGGAGGGCTGATGGAATGAAGGAGAGAAAGAAGGTATTTCTTCCTGAAGTAGCCTAGCAGCTGGGTGCTGGGGATGTACACACAGGTCCGCCTCAGAGACGTGCAGGCCTGGTTCCAGATCATTGCAGTAAAGCAAATACCGCAATAAAGCAAATCACAGGAATTTCTTAGTTTCCCAGTACATACTGAAGCTATGTTTACACTATGTAGTCTATTAGGTGTGCAGTAGCATTGTATCTAAAAAAAACAATGTACAGACCTTAATTTTTAAAAGTTGCTAAAAATGCTAACCATCACCTGAGTTTTCAGTTAGTTGAAATCTTTTTGCCTGTGGAGGGTCTTGCCTTTCATTTGTAAAAAAAAAAAAAAAAAAAAAAAAAGTGTGTGTGTGTGTGTGTGTGTATCAAATATATCCGTGCAGCACAATAAAACGAGGTATGCCTGTGAGTGTGTGTGTGTGTCTGGTGGCCTTTGAGGGCTCCAGTTTTCCCCTAAAAGCAAGACAATCTGGGTCCTCCACCCCCATGTCGTGGAGTATGGTTGGTTGGAAAGGGAGAAGGAGGGACACCCAGAAGGGATGAGCTCCCCAGGTTACATGCTTTGGGAAGGGGACTCGGGGGGAGAGCTGGAAGTGAGGAGGGAGCCAGTGTCTGACCAATACCAGGATATTCGGGGTGGCAAGGGGGAAGTATGGCCCCTGACCCCTGACCCCTTGGGCATCCAGCCTCGCACTAGCAGCAGCGCATGTTCTCTCCAACACCAACCTACATGGTACGGTGTCCAGGGGCGAACCCTGCTCTTCCAGGCTTTGGTTCTTTCCTGAGTTTCCCTGGACCATCATTTTTGTCCAGTTTTACAGGCAGAGAAATGCAGAGGAAGTGGAAGGGAAGGATGAAAAACCCACAGCTCCCTGAGGGTGACTGTGGAGCCCCAGGTCATCCAGGAAAAACCCTGAATTCTGAAGCCTAACCTGACCTTGCCCCACTGACCCTGGACGGCAGGCAAACTGACCCGGGGAAGCGGGCAGGCCCTCGGGCAGTGCTCCAGCCCGGAGCCTTCAGAGAGTGACCCATCTGCCCCTGGGCGCAGGTGTGGCTTGGCCTGCGCCCTTGCCCCAGGATTCCCTTTTCCCTCTTCCCACCCCACGGCAGAAGGCTCGCCTGCACTGCCCGGTGAGACTCGGGGGAAAAGGGAGAAGTGCCAGAGGCCACGCAAGAGGGGCTGGTACAGGTTCAAGTCGGCTTCTGCTGTTACCTTGGGCAAGTCCCTTAACCACCCTCTGCCCAGTTTTAAAATAAGAGCTTTTCACCTCCTTCCTGGAATTTGAGAAGGAATGCAGAATGTCCCCCCAAAATGGCATCTCCGTGTCATAAAGACCTGGGGACTGACCTTGTCCTGCCAGTTCCAGAGGCCCTGCTCTACCTCCGGCTCATCTCAGGCCTCAGCCCCCAGGACCTCACCAAGACAAAGCAAGTGCTTCACTACGCTGCAAGAGGACCCCCTTGATTCTTGGGGGTGAGGTCAGTAGACAGTGGCTTCCAGAACTCCCTATTGGTATCATTCACATTCCGTTATGTCTGGAGGCCTGGGCGTAGTCCCATGTACAAATGTTTAACAGCATTTAACAGGACCCTCTGCCCAGAGCAGGGTGACCCCCTCCTCCTAGCTCTGCCCCGTGGAGCGCCCTCCAGGATGGGCCGCGTGCCTCTGCCCATACGCTGCTCAGGACCCTGTTTCTGGTCCTGAATATGAGAGCCTGAATTCCCAATCCCCCATTTACTAGTTGTGTGACCTTGGGTGAGACAGTCAGTCTCTCTAAGCCACAATTTCATCTTCAGCTCAACAGGGGTAATAGCGGCACCCACCTCAAAGAGCTGCTGGGTTGATCAAACACATCCGTATGTGTCAAGTTCTTAGACCAGTACAGCGAGCACCTAATTAGTGTTAGTTATCACTATTTAATTTGACTTAACTTGAAAACTGTCATTTCTTGTGAGTCTCAGGAAACGCAACGGTTTCCTTATGCATGCTCGATGACAGAAGATGAGCTCTCTTGGGGTGGAGGAAAGGTGCCTATGTTGGATCCAAATTAGACTCTTAATTGAAGTGGCTTCTTGGTTTTTTGTCACCAGAGGTGGGCGGGATGGGGAATTTTCAGGTTGATTCTGAATCCAAGACTTCTCAAACAAAGCTGACTTGTCAAAAAAGTCGATTTTGCAGCATGGGGAGACAGGCAGGGTCGCCAAATGAAAGAGGACCATTCCAGCACGCCTACACAGTGGCCGCGCTACCATCAAAGCGCTGCGCACAAACCGGTTTCTATCGAGGAAACAAGCTACAAAGACTCGCCTGGATGGATACTTGCAGGAGCTGCTGGTGTCTGGGGGAGATTATAAATTAGCTGGTTGCTCTTCACATCAGAGCCAAGCGGGGCCCATTCAGTTTTTAATCTGGACCAATTTTCTGGATCAAAACCTACTCTTTCCAAGGGATGTAAGTGAGCCCAGGAGGAAACATTTTTCCCTGAAGTTTATAAAGTAGCTGTCAGTTTAATCTGAGTAGCTTTCCAACCTGAAAGCCAGTGTCTGGTTAAAATTATAAAGTAATGAAAAATTTGTCTAAGCTAAACATAGTCCAAACACTCTTTCTGCCTTAAATTTGGTGTATTTAATATGCTAATATGTTTCACAGGTGGAGTTTCCACAATCAAAACCCCATTTATGCTTCAAATAAAACCTAAGAGGCCAAGATGGCAGGTTTACACATGGCATGACTATCAGAATGAGACTGTGGATGAACCAGGTAGAAAATATTTCTAGGAGAGAAACTGCAAAAAATAAGAAAGGAAATATGGAGAATTATAAGAGCGGTTTTATACAGCAAGCTTTTGTAAAGTGTTTTGCAAAAAAAAATTTTAAAATATCTGCTTATATGATTGAAATCTATCCTTAAAAGGACACTGCACACACTGTTCATGATTAAGAACTACAGATAGGATTATGTATTGTTCAAAACTGTGACTAGATGGTTTTAGGTGAATAAGCCCGTAGAATGCAATTGATCACGATGGGGTTATCTTAAGGAGAGGAGGGAAGTTAGAAAGAAGCCCTTCATGGAAATGCTGGTAGATGTGCGAATGTGTACATACAAGAAAAGAAACTGATATAACATTGGACTGCTGCTATTATCTTCAAAATGAATTGAACAGTGGAAATAGAAAAACAGAATAGCTCATAATTCAAGTATGCCACAGGTTACGATAATGTCAAGGCAGGTAGCAAGGCGCAGGTGATAGCAGATGGAGCTGAAAGGCAACAAGTCGTATTTCCAAGTGGAGAGATCCTTGAACAGCAAACACACTTAGGCAGCCATATGGGAATCTGCCAAAACAATTGTCTTTGCCCTCTGATAAATGTCCCCTGGTTTGTCTCTTTCTTATAAAAACATTATTTGTGAAGACAAACGGCACTTTCTGCAAAGTTTTGCAGACTGCATTCAAATAAGAGTACATTGTTTTCCATTGTTCGTAAGATATAATTAATCCCATAAGACAACCTTGCTTACAAAGTAAACTAAGAAAAAACAGATTTTTCAGAATTCTAAATATAGTGTCAGCAAAGAATAAAAATCGTTACTTGGGAAACAATGGTTAGAACTTTATTGCTTAGAATGTTCTACTTTGAATTGTCTCCCAAAACAAGCCAAATCAAAGGCAACGCAAGTAAAGGAAGACTTTTTACCACTGTAACTAAAGGAAATGCAAGTTACTGTGTTTCAAGTTCTCTCCAATTCTAATAGCCTACAACCCATATATTTTTGTTTAAATTGCAGAGCAAAGACAGGAGCTCAAAACGAGATAAAATTAAGCCCCTGGGCCCTTCTCTCTGAGAAAGTGGCCCCGGAGTGAAAGAGACTGCGACCATTTCAGGCCACAGCCCTCCGGAGCGCCAGGGCAGGGCCAGAGGTGCGCGGAGGGGACTCCAGGCAAATCTTCAGACACTTCACAGGAAATGGCTGGGCTCTGGACAATGTGAATTCAGTAAAATGTTTGGAGACACAGGAGGAGCTGTTTGACTCTGCAGAGTTGCAGTCCTCTGTAACTGAGACAGCATGATCGCTACCCCAGCCCTCAGCTCTCTGGGATCAAATGCAGGGAGCCTTCCACCTCTACTGTGTCTGTGTAATAGATCATCTTTTAACAAACAAATATCCCTGGAACCGCCTGGTCTGGGACGAGGCGGGGGGCGGGGAAAGGGGGCTCGCGTTTTTCCTCTCAGCCCTGGACAGAGATGAACCCAGTTAAACTGACGCTGGTAAGGGGGAAAGAGAGGCGGTGCGGACACTGCCTTGCGTCCTCCCCAGGGACCAGGACCCGGACCCGGACGCGGCCCCGGGCGCACCGGGCGCGGTGCCCCGACCCTGGGCGTGCTGTGCGTGTTACCTGGTTTTCGAAGAGCTTCTCCAAGCGACACAAAGCCGGGTCTGGGGCTGGAAGCCAGGAGCAAGAGCCGGAACAAGATGCCTTGGATTAAATCCATTTCACCGCGGGCGCCTGCAAAGTTTCACCAAGTCCTGGGCGCACAGAAAAAGGGCGTCTCCTGGGGCCGTACAGGACGCCGGCCCCGCGGACCTGCTGGCCGGGGCGAAGAGGTCGGAGGCTGAGGGAGCTGGACTAGCAGCCACCGAGGAGTCCAAGGAGGCAGGACCGCAGCCGGGAGGTCGGGGTGCGGGAGTGCAGCCGGCTGCCAGCGCCAGGGCTTTTAGGGGGCGGGGGCGGCGGAGGAGGCGGGCGGGGAGGGACCGGCTGGCCGCGGAGGGAGGGAGGAAGGCTGGGCCCGCCCGGGGATGGAATTACAAGCCAGTAGAAGTGAGAGGCGGCAGGTCCGGAGACAATTTACTCTTCGACCACCTCTGGGGCAGACAGCCCGCCCATCACTCCCTCTAAGGACCCCCAGCTCAGCCCTTCCCGGCTGGTGACCTAGATAGGGGGACTGGGAGGGGCAACTTCGACCCCTAGAGACCCAGGGTAGGAGTTCAGAGATGGCGAATCCAAGACCCTCGGCCGTGGTCCTGACCCTGAAATATCGCGGTGCCTGTCCCCTCCCCTGGTTACACCCCACTCCTGCCGCTTCGCTCTGGGGGGCTGCCACCCAGCCCGGCACCTTCCCCCACACCTCCAAAGGTCGCTCGGGTCGGCCCGGCGCACTGGGGGGACCGCGAAGGCGGCGGAGCGGGTCTGTGATTTGCAAGTGGGAGCGGGCGAGGGGAAGAGGGGGCGGGGCCGGCCGGGTCTGGGCGCTAAGGAGATAAACGGGATTGAAGACGCGCAGATGGAGAGCTGATGCCCCACCCCTCCAACGAGAGGCCGGGTGGTGATTAGGGCCCTGAGCGGGGGAGCGGGGTCCTCTTGCGGGAGAGGAAGGCAATGTGAGACCCTCCAGGGGCGGAGATGAACCCTCAGGTTAAGCCTGGCGTCCAGGAGAAGGACGCGAGCTCGAGCCCCCGGAGGACGGAGAGACCCGGCTGGGGTTGGGGGCCGGCGGGGGTCCTGGTCGCTGATGCCGGGACCGGAGTTCTCGGGCCGGCTTCCTGGCCGGTAAAGGCACCTCCTCTGGGTTTGTTGCCCGGACATTTAATAAAATGCTCCTTTTGCCGGGTTTCCCTGAGAAAGGGGAGACCCAGGGACGTAAGTCACGTTGCGCACTGGCGTGCTGAGCTCCAAGCCAGGGAAGAGAAAGCAGATACAATAAATAAACCAAGAAGGAAACGCAGCCTCACCAGTTCCTGGGGAAGATCAAAGGCCCGAGGAAGTGCCCCGCAGAGGGAGGCACGGGGGGCTGCCGGCAGGACCCTGTGCAGCCCGCCCCAACTTGCCGCGCGGGAGACTGGCGTCGCGACCCTTCCTCGCTAACCGAGGTCGGGAAGACCCAGAGGGAGTAACTGTCGACAGATGTATGTCCCCCGAATGAAGCATTCCCCTGGCGAAGGGGTGCGCAATGAGCCCGTTCTCATTTGTCAGCAAAGCTGAGGCTATGATCCCTTAGGGTGGCATCCCCAGCCCAGGTCCGCAACTGTCCACAAACCAATTCAAAGTCCACCCCAACCTGAGTATTTGGAAGTCTTGGCGGTGACGCCAGAGCTTGCCCTTGCACACGGATCAGGAGCAGAAAGGTCGGGACAGACTGCTTTTCACGTCTGTCCACCGAGAGAACAATGCCGCATCCGGACGCCAGACACTGTGAGGGCCCTCTGGGCTGCCGGTGTCAAAGGTCGCAGAATCCCAAAAGCTGAGGTGGTCAGAGCCCCCGAAGGCACCGAGGCCCTGCCTCCTGCCCGCAGGAACGGCTCTCCGCCGCCTCGGCAAGTCCCGCGCCTGGGCTTGAACTCCAGCAGCCAGAAGTTGTTGGAACCGCAACCAAGCCAGCGCTGCCCTAGAGATACCTCCCATGACAGCTCTGCTCTTTCTCACTTAAAACATGATTCTCCCTGATGCAGAAACTGGAGTAATGTTAACCATTAATATGTATATAACACCTACTACGTACCAAACTCTTTTTTAAAAGCTATTTTATTTATTTTTAGAGAGAGGGGAAGAGAGGAAGAAAGAGGGAGAGAAACATCAATGTGTAGTTGTCTCTCATGCGCCCCCTACTAGGGACCTGGCCCACAACCCAGGCATGTGCCCTGACTGGGAATTGAACCTGCGACTCTTTGGTTCGCAGGCCTGTGCTCAATCCACTGAGCCCCACCAGCCAGGGCCCAGACACTCTTTGAAGTAGGTGATAATCCCAATAATAGCCATTCCTGGTAGGTATAGTTATTAGTATTATCCCTATTTGACAGGTGAAGAAACTGAAGCACTGAAAGATTTTTAAAAACTTGCCCAAAGTTATGCACCTCCCAAGAGACAGACTTTTGATTGAATGCAGGTAGCCTGGTTCCAGAGACCAGGCTAGAAGGAAACAGGTGGGGAGCAGACGCAGCAGCAGCCTGAGAGACAGGACATGTGGGTGTTTCATCTCGGGCCCTGCTCAGAGTTTATCTTGGTAAAATATAGGGGCTGGATGAAATCATCATTGAATTCCAGACTTTGCTTTCTTTTTATTATGTGATAAAATAACATCATCTAATCCAAGCCATTTTTGCTCTGAATATGCTTTTTTCAAGACCTGTACAAATTGTCCATGGCAAATTTTGCAAGCCTGGGTGTCGGACGTCTTGCTGAGAGCGTCCTCATGTGTCCACGCCACCTCCTCAGGCTTGGCCATGGGCCTCGCATGCGTCGGTTGCACACGGCCACAGGCGGCTGGGGAGCTGGCTCAGCTCCTTCAGAGGCCCCTCTCATTTCTTCCTTCCAGAATTACCTCAATTATGTTGTTGTTATTTACTTTTCAGTGCCTCTGAGAGCTCTGGATCTTCAGACCACTGAGTTCAGACCTTGCTTCTTGAGATGCGCTTGTTCCGACCCTAGGTAGCACAGGGACGTATCCTTTCCTTTACTAGTCAGATCGCATCCTGCCAAGGTTCCCTCTTCTTCCAGTTTGACAACCAGTTCGTGGCACGTGTACATCTCATAAAAGACCAATGGAACACTTGCCTTTCACTCTCGTCCTGTGTTCTGGGAGGAAGAGAGCTAAAGAGGGCAAAGAGGCTTTGAATGTTTCATTTTTAAAAATCTGTTCCAATTCACTGGAGGTCTAAACTCAATTAATAAGGTCACCAGCAGAAGGGTGACCTGCCTGCCTTGCTCAATATCATGAAAGAAGACTCTGACCTTTGCTCCACGGAATGGATTTGGAGGCTGTTAGAAAAAAGAAAAGGCAAAGTTACCAATTATAGAATGTTTAGAAAGTCCCTGAATGAGAGTAAGAAAGAGAGAGCAGTAAAGAAATCAGCTTTAGACTTAATTTATTTTTGAATCAGTTATATGTACACAGAAAATCTGAAATGTGCATCAGGCAGAGTATATAGTAAAAATTAATTTTCCTTCCACCCCTTCCTCTCTCAGAAGCAACCACTGCTATCAGTTTCTTGTGTATCTTTCTAGTCATAGTCTAGGAATAAATATCTATACATATGTTTAACACAAACAGAAACATGTTGTACTCACTTTTTAGCCCGAAGATCCTTCCAAATCAGCAGCTGCAGATCTAGTTCCCTCTTACTAACTGGTGCATAATATTCTATTGTGTGATATACAGCAACCTGTTATTTCTTTTGTTGTTTTCAATCTTACTACTATAGACAACATTGTGGTGAATCATCTCGAATATATAATGTTTTTCATGTTATAATAGACAGCAGGGTACCTTTCTAGACTAGCCTTTGCTCAGCCAAAGGCTGAATGCTTTTTCATTTTGATAATTTGGCCAAATTTTCTCCCAAGGAGATTGTATGAATTTATATGCCCACAAGCAATATTTGAGCATGACCATTTCCACGCACCCTCTCTCATCAGCATAGTGTCTTATCAAACTGGAACAGTGTATTGTATACATGTAGCTTACATGTTTTAATCAACATACAACATAGAAAGAAAAGTACTCAAGAAATAAGTGCACTGATTGATGCATTACAGTGAAGTGAGCAGACTTGTACACCTACCACCCAGATCAAGAACTGGGACATGACCAGCACCCCCAGTAATTTCTCCTCATGCTTCCTCCTTAGATATATGCATTTTTGATGAAGTATGAAGAGAGTTCAAACTTCCCATTCACTTTAAATTAAAATACACAAATAAAAATAGGTCAGCAAAACACATCAGCACTCTCTACCCCAAACCATGTAAGCACTCCCCACTCCCAAGCATTAATGGAGATTTGATCCCATGATGTATAAGGCTCTGTGATGAGAACAGAAAGACTGATAGGAAAGAAAATAGGGCAGTGTCTTCTGCACTCAAGAAGACTGCAATTTTGTTGAAAGTAGACGGTTACACAGCCAACTGTTCCACAAAGCAGAATGAAGCACTAACAGTACAAGCAAGATGCTGTGTGTTGAAAGGGAGACCCTGTATCACAAATGACAACCTATGTAATAATATTTTTTTAAATAGCCATTAATCTCACAAATGTTTAAATTATGCTTATATCCATAATAAGATTCACCAGGGGCAGAACTGGAGTTCCCAGGATAAATGGCATGGTATTCCCAAATCTGTCCTACCTTCTGCATCCATTCCTAGTAGCATTGATTAAAAATGACTGGGGAATTACAGTTAAATTGGGCAGCCTGTTGAGTCTCCAGCCTTTCATTTTAATGTTAACTTTTTAATAAACAAAGGTGCATAAACCCTGAGTGTGTAGTTCAATGGATTGTCACAAAGGGGATAACCCCTTGGGATAAGCCCCCAGATCATAAAATACAGGGTCCAGCAGAAGTAACACCTGCTTCAGTGAGGTTGATAGGGTACCTGAATGTCTTGCACAAGATGGACAGCACTTTGAACAATTCACCTAAAATGTCACATGGTGTGCTTGAGTGTGATGATGTTGTGTTATAGAATTACATGCTTATGATTTTATAATAAAAGGGGGATGTTATTTGTGCCAGGCCCTGTAGAAAAATGCCAGACCATAAAAGCAATTTTGTTCCTCCCTCTAATTAAACCTACCCCACAACCAAATGGGAAAGCATTTACCTGATTTCTAACATCTATATT